GAGGAGGAGGAGGAGGAGGTACGAGTAAACACACAGTAGGAGATAAAGCCTGGGGTAGGTGAGAATTTTCCTCCATAGTCATGGGAATGAATTGCCCTCTAGGGAACTTTGGGGAGGCAAGAGATTCCAGTCTGTGCAGGGGTGGGGGAAAGATGTAAGCTCAAGACAAGGATGCCTCTCCCATCCTCCCTTTCCCCCAACAAGCTACTCACATCTGCCTCATTCCAGAGTCCTGGGATGCAGAAGGACTCCAGCAGGTCACTACCGCACAGCAGCAAGATGCGCAGCTCTGAGGAGAAGAGCAGAGTTTGCATCAGAGGGGGCCAAGGAGACAGCTCTCAGCTTTCTTCCCTCTAGAGCACAGCCGTCTGCACCGGTGGAACTGTGTGGCCCAGGTCCCCCAGACAATCCCACACCAGGGGGCCTGTAGTTCAACACCCCCACCCCCTCCTCCATCTCCAGTGGGATTTCCACACGAAGGGAGCGGTGTACGGAGGGGGGCCAACTGTCCTGCCTGCACAAGACATAGACACAGCCCTTGAGGGCCAAAGCAGGATGGCTGGGCTTTCTAGCAGGCTTTCCTTAAGGGCTCAGAGCCCCCATTCCCGACTCTGTAGTCTAGGCTGGTCTGTAGCTGATGCTTGAACACTGGAACCTGCTCTCCTAGCGCTGGATAACAGGAACTTAGTTCTGTCTCCTCTCCCTTTCGAGTGTGTCTCCCCTGACAAGTGCCAACATAGAAGGGATAGGATGGACGGAGACCGCTGACTGCCAATGAAGTATCTGAGTTGATCAACTGTGCCCTCTCTTTTGAGGCCATAACCCTCCTCAAAGGGATTGAGAAGCAAGGCTGGAACCACCTCCCCTTTACCCGTGGTGCTTCCTGCCTGACAGTTGTTTTTCTTCCCTCATTAAGCCTAATTTGAATTTTCCCAGAGAGGCCCATTGTCATTTAAAACCACCATGAAACAGTTGCTTATTACAAAGGGGGGGGTGGTTTAGAGATTTTTTTTACATTCCACGCCAGGGTTGCGCATGCATCCCAGGCTGCCCAGGTTTCAGCGTCACCCAATGTGTCTGAGACCACAGAGCACCTGTGCAGAGCTGGCCAGCAGTCCTCCAGACACAGCCGCTACCACGGCCCCTGATGCTGAGAGCCTGACTTACCCCCGAGGACCAGGCAAGGACTTTCGGAGGCTGAGCTAGCCCCTGTTCAACTGAGAGTCTCCAGATGGGAACGAAACAGGCAGAGAAAATAGCCAACATCTCACTGTCCAGACGTCTGGACAATGTCTGCACTGGACCGGGGTCGGCACGTCAGCCCCCGGCGGGGAAGTCCATTGAGTGTTGAGAGCTTTTATGAACCAATGATCTTTTCAGGTACAGAACCTTAAATTGTCTTTCTGTCCCAGGGCCTGGCAGTGACTGGCTGGCACAGAGGGAACTCAAGACATTGTGAGTAGTTAAGCCAGCAGATGATATGGTTACAGAGTCTCACAGGCTGTCTGGGAGCCCCTGGGCAGTTTAGGGGCATTTTTTTACAGGGTCTGGTTTTCATGCCTGGGGAGCAGAGACAGGTGTCACTGGCATCTGGTGGATGGGACGCTGCTAAGCCAGCATCCCACAGTGCACAGGGCAGCCACCCACACAATTATCTGCCCCTAGAAACTGGCAGCACCAAGGCTGAAAACCTTGAACAGGGGCTCCCATTCTCGTGCTAGGACTCACTCTCTTGCCCAGACTTTTCAAACTAGCCAAAGCACAGAAAGGTGGTGTAACTTCTGACTTTTCCCCCCCCAGGACCAGAGCAGACCTGTTATTGGTAACAGACAGGTGACCTTGGCGGAGTCTGTGGTCCCACATGAAGCCACTGGAGGGCAGCAATAATTTCCATATCTCCGGTCTACTTCAACAGGGGTAGCCCCAGGGGAAGCAACCAACTGTGGAAAACTGACGCCAAGCAAGTTAGGAGAAGGTGGCTTTTCTCATGGTGTATGCAGGGGGTTTCGTTAAGGGAGCCTTGTAAGTACCAGAACCTCACAGAGCATAAGGGTCAGGATACAGGTTAGTTCCTCTGCCTCCACTGGGCTCCGCCTTCCTCCCTGGTCATCTTGACCCAGGGCCAGCAGCCAGAATCAGTCCTCTCCCTCTAACTCTCCCCGTTCAGGAATTCCAGCTATGTGTAGCCCAGTGGCCCACCCCAGCTCCCACGGTCCACCACGGCAGCTGCCACCTGTATCGCTGCAAACCCAGAGTCTATCTGTCAGCAGGGGCCTGCACCGCTCTCCCTTTCAGAAGCCAAGAATTCTTCATTCCCTGGCCCATTATCCCTTCTTGTCAGATGCTGGGGATCCTTTTCCCTTCTGGAGAGCAAAGGGGGTCAGAGGTGGCTCGGCAGATTTAAGAGCCAGAGGGGCTATCCCCCAGTAGGGACAGCACAGCCTAAAATGTGCCCCGAGTGCTGGGGAGGCAAACAGGTTCCCAGAAATCCCATACAAAGTCTGTAAAACATGCAAAAGACAAACACATACTGGAACACAATAGAAAATCCTAGGTGTGTTCTGAGCTCTGCTGGGCAGAGACTGCCAGTGGGGTGACAGTCCCTGAGAGGGAGGACTGCACGGGTGCAGGGCTTTGAGCCCCGTCCTGGCAGCTTTGCCCTATCTCTGCCTGAGGATGCTCTGGGCTTACAGAACCTGCTTTCTTTATCCAGAAAGCCAGGTGCCCACTTTGCTGCAGACTTCAGAGCAAATAAGCTGACAGATGAAGGCTGTTAAAGTCTACAACGGTTACTAGGAAGAGAAGCACCTGAATACTCCCTCATTGATTCTGTTGAATGCAATTTGTTTAACTGTGTGCTCCCAGTATTTCGTTTTCACTAATGGCTCTGCTTAGCCATAGTTGTCAAATAGTGGATAAGTCATCACTTCCGAACCGCTCGGAACCGCAGCAGAAGCCCAGTCCCCCAGGGCACACTCAGAGGAGCCCGAGGAAGGCATCTAGGAGCTAGAAGTTAAATCCGTGTGGGTTCGAGACCAAGTTGCCTCTCCTTCTAGAGAGCCACTGACCCTCCTCGCCACCTGTGCCAGCTCCGTTCTGGGCTGCCTCTGTCATCTTTTTCCAGCTGCAGGCATTTGGGGTTCCCCTCCATCTTTGGAACCTTGCAAAGTCTTCAGTTTCTGATTTGCTTCAATTATTTACACAGCTGTCAGTGCCTTCCCAGCAGACAGCTGTTTGTACCAGCTTCTGCCTACTCTGGATTGAGCACGGGGTCTCACCTAGACCTTAGCCCAGTCAGCCTTTGCCTCTTTCTCTACTTTAAAGCCCTGGAAACTGGACACTGTCTTGTCTGTGTGCAGTATCGGTGGGTAAACACAATGGTCTCTCTCATTAGCACTGATGCTCAGCTTTCGTCCTTTTAGATGAGGGAGGGGAGGCTGTGAGGGGAAGATTGCCAGTTGATCCACTCCGACTGGAAGTGAGTCTAGTTAGGGGATGTTAAATGGCATCTAAGATTATCTGTAGAAGGACGATTCTGATAGTAGACCCAGTTGCAAAGAGACTCCAGAGGTTTTAAACCTCCACCCTCCCTGGCATTGCAGTTTCCATGTGATTGGAGGCCAGAGGCTCCAAATGTTCCCCCTTCCATAGCTCTACTCACCAATCTCTTCATACCGCATCACTGTGCCCAGGTTGGCATTCTCATCTGGGGAGAGAGAGTGGGGGGGCATTAGGGAGCTGAGAACCTCAGTGAGAGTGCTGGGGGGCTGCGGGTGGGTGGGGAAAGATCAGATGGCAGGGAGCATACCCTCCCTTCCCAGGGCAGAGCTTCATATTTTTGGGATTTTCATAGTTAGATCATCTCACTGGGGAACCCAATGACAGACATTCATGCTGAGGGCCTTCTATTCGTGTGTCCACCAGAACCGTGCCCTTAGAACCTGGGACATGGGATTTGGGATCACAGGAGATGGCCTCCTCTCCTTCCATTGCTTCCTGGTTTAAAGATTGGGATGTTGAGCCATTTCCTCGGTGGGATGTAGCAGAAGCTGGCAGGAAGAAAAAAAAGGCCAGAGCCTCTGGCACGAGTTCCTAGTGTGCACTGTCTGCACAGAGGCGTACAAGGTACACATAAGTGCACACAAATCGACAGCCGAGCTGCCTCATCCCTGCCTCTGCCTCCTCAACTGTCTTTTAGTTCCCTATCAATAAGCCCAAACTGGAAACCTCCATTAGGGCAAAAGGAAGCCCCAAAGGAAAAAAGAAAAAAGTTCTTTTGGCTCGTTTTGGGGTTCCTTCTTAGAGTAAATTAGAGGTGGGCAGGGGAGGAACACCCAAAGGACAGAGGGGCCTAGGGACAGAGGCTGTGCCCACTGGAGGACAGCCACTACCTAAGCCAGGAGCCAGGCCCCATGGCAAACATCTGGTGTGTAGACATATCTTATGGAGTGCAAGGTGAGGAATGTCCAGGCCTACAGTGTCAAGAGGCGATGGGAGCGAGAGGCCTGGACATCCCAGCTCGTCTCTGGTCTCTTCAACTGCTGCTCTACAAATGATCACCCCACTAGGGTGTCCTAGTCCATTCAAGCTTTACAACCAATACCATGGGTGGGGTGACTTTCAAACAACAGGAATTTATTCCTGAATGTTCTGGAAGTTGGAAGCCTAAGGTGAGGGAGCCAACGTGGGTAGCATCATCTCTGTGTATCTTCAGATGGTAGAAGGGGTGGACTAGTTCTGCAGGGTCTTTTCTTTATAAGACATTTTTAAATTACATTTTATTTATTTTGTTTGTGTGCAATTCACCTTCATGATTTAATTATCTCTCAAAGACCGTGGCTCCTAATACCATCCCCTGGGGGATTAACAATTCAGTCTATGAATTCCAGGAGGTGGGGCTCTTGGCTGATGAATTAAGAGAGGTGAGGAGGAAGAAGACAGATGGCCCCTTACCTACAAAGGTGAAGCGCTCCACGGGAGGGCGGACACAGCAGATCCGGGTGAGGCTCTCTCCCACCTTTCCCAAGATCTTGGCTATGGGAGAGAAGAAGACAGACGGAGACAGAGGGAAAGGACCACTCACAGCTGACACTCAGGTCAGCACAGCACCGGGGCCACTTTAAACCACAGGGGTGTACGGGGAGGGGTGTACTGGAAAGTGGAAGGCAGGCAGGAGGGTAGAAAGAAAGGTCAGAACAATGACAGCCACAAGTTCTTTCTTCTCCTCCGGAGTTCAAGGCACAAGCACTGTGAGCCACAGGCTACTTTCTTGTCATGGTTATTGTGGAAAAGTGGAAAACAGAGGCAGAGAGAAGGGAGATACATAAAGAGAAAAGGAAACAGCGCTCACGAGCCTACATCTAGCTAGATCCACACCTTAGCATCTTGGTGTGTTATTTAGTTTCTTCCATTTTAATGAGTATAAATGCATTGGTGCAGATTGCAAATTTCGTATGCATTTATACTGCTGCTCTCCCAATTCCTTTATTTATTTATTTGTTTGTTTGTTTGTTTATTATTTCTCTCCAAGACAGGGTTTGCCTGTATAGCCCTGGCTGTCCTGGAACTTGCTCTGTAGACCAGGTTGGTCTTGAACTCACAAAGATCTGCCTGCCTCTGTCTCCCAAGTGCTGGGTTTAAAGGCATGCATCACCTCTTCCAATTCTTAATGTTCTGGTTTGAATCTTAATTGTCCCCCAGAGGCACATGCTGAAGTTTAGTCCCCAGCAGGTGATACTGTGGGGAGCAGTAGAAGTCTTAGGAGGAGGAGTCTAATGAAAGAGAATTAGGTCACTCGGTGTGGGTCCTGGTTTCTTTCTTCCTCCCCTTTTGCTTCTGAGCACCACAAAGTGAGCCACCTCCCCCACCACTCACTCCCATGATGTTGTATGCTTCCACAGCATCAAAGCAACATGGTCAAGTACCCCTGGTCTAAAGCTTCTGGAACCTAAGCCAAATACATCTTTGTTCCTTTAAGGTTGATTTTCTCAGGCATTTGTTACAAGAATGGGAAGCCGCTGGTCACTAACACACTTCTCATGAGCTTCTCAGTGGGTTTGTCCCAAGCCTGTCATTAGCCACTCATCCCACTAGACAGTAGCACCCAAATCCAAGGGACCTCAGCCTGTGGCAGACTCCACACCGGAGTCACCTCTGCTGGGCTAAGGAGAGCGTGCCTGTCCATGCAGGTGGTCTTCACAGTAATCCGGCACCCTAGCTGGCTGAGAGGTGGCTTCTGTGGCTCTTATGTGTTCTATCTCTCCAGGCCCTAGTCCCAAAACTTGCTTAGTATAACTCCATGCAAACTATGGACTCCTAGATCTTCTGTATAAATTACTACATTTATAAAAAGCCAGTAATATAATAGTATGTGGTTTCTCGGCTTGAAAAGCAGTGGGCATCTCTCTCTCTCTTAGAATTTGTATTCAGCCGTCATGTTTTGTTTGAAATAACATTTCATGTAGACCAAACTGCCCTTAAACTCCTGATCCTTCTGTTTCTCCCTCCCAAGTTCTGGGATACAGGCGTCCGCCAGCACAACCAGCATCATCTGTTGGAACTGAACTGGGAGAATCCCTTAGAGCATGTCCCGACCTGACAGCTCTTCTACCTTTGAGCTGTTCAACTTAGACTAAGCACAAACCATTTCTAGATTAGATCTTCGTTGTTTTATTTGTCAAAGGAAAGACATCATCTACATCACAGAATCGCTGCGTTTAACGAGAACAGAGGTAGAGACTGAGCACAAAGCACCCTAAGGCGCACAGTATGAGCATGGAGGAGAAAGTGTTGGTGGCCTTGCTCTTTGTTGTCGAGGAGGAGGCTAAGAGTGTGGGCATTATGCATGCAATGTGACTCATGGCCCTGCTACTTCCTCACTGTGACCCTGGGTGAGACCCTCAACCTCTCTGGAGGAGGCAAAGAAAAATGCTCCCTTTCATATATTAAATTCCTATTAAGGCAATTATATTTATATTTAAACACATAAGAAGGCACACTGTCCTTTCCTCTCCTCCCTCCTCCCTCTCTTCTGCTCCCCACCTCCTCCCTCTTCCCTTCTCTTTCCTATGCTTCACCCCCCTCCTGCTCTTCCTCTTTCTAGATTGACTAACTCAAATGCTGGGTGGGCCCTCTAGGTGACTCTGGGTAAAGGAGATCTTTGCCCAGTGTCTCTTACCTGCAGTGGGCTTGCTGGACACATTGCTGTTCTGGTAAATGGGCTGGGTGTTCTCATGTTGTGGCTGTCCAATCACAGGTGTCATGGAAGGTGTGTTGACGTTGGAGAGGATGCAGCCAGTCACCCTCTGGGAAAAGGGAGAAGCATTGAGTCAGTGTCCTTAAGCAAGTGACGGTGCTGAGAATCATGGCCCAGTTGTCGCCATGGACATCTGTCTGCCAAGCAGAGTAAGGCAGTCTCAAGCCTAGGGATGGTCTACAGTGACAGGAAACAGGGTAACTCAGCAAGAAAACTTGGGAAGTGACATCCAACAGCCCTGGACCCCAGTTCACTCTCCACTTTCTAGTCATGTGACCTTGAGCAGTCCCTGAACCTTATGATAATACAATACAATTTGCTTTTTTTTTTTTTTTTTTTTTTGAGATGAGTTTCTCTGTGTAGTTCTTGCTGTCCCAGAATATGCTCTGTAGCAAGACTGGCCTCAAATTCAGAGATCTAGCTGCCTCTCCTCCTGAGTGCTGGGATTAAAGGTCACTACCACCCATGACCTTAAATTTTCTATCCACCTGTCTCTACTTCATGAGTACTGAGATTACAGGCTTTAGCCATCCTTTATAGTAAACACACACACACAAAGTGGGGTGTGTGTGTGTGTATCTATATCTAGGTGAAAATCAGCCAGTCTCCTCTCTTTGAGTTAGCCCAGTTGTGCCTATCAGTCTCCTGGCCACGGTACTGTCCCTCAGGAATGCAGGCCCACCTTAAGCCATTTTGACTGTGGTAGAATTATCTGAGCAAGTCCATGCAAAGTGCCTCTGAAATGCCTGACGCTGGCAGGGCTTTGTGTAACCTTCTGCATGCCATGACTATCTGTGAGCCCTGCCTACTTCTTGGGGCTCAAAAGAGATCATCTCATGAGGGAGCCCAGCAGGCGTGGGAAAGGTCAGCCCAACCATAGGCATCATCAGCCGGTCGCCTCAGCCTCTACAGGCCAGACACGTCAATACCACGGCCAGCCAGAGACCAGTGCCAGGCAGGGCAGGATGTATCTGTGTCACAGGAAGTGTGGGGTGAGTTCCAAGTCCCCTGGGGCCTGCTCATCACACTTCAGAGCCACCTGGTGTCTTGAGATACATTATTCATTAACCTGTGTTATCAGGACCCACTGCTCCCTCCAGTGACGTTGAAAATAGAATGTAGCCGCAGGGGAGCCATAAGCAACTCCCTCTACCCAGGGTCAGAGAATGGCAGAGAACCATGGGACTAAGTGCATATTCCAGGTTCCTTCCCAAAAGCCAGCATCTCTGGGGTGATGGTGCCCATTGCATTTCCAAGATTGAAGTCCTGCTGTGAGAGGACCTTCAAGCTCCAGAGATGGCCAGGAAGCCCCTCTGGGTACAGTTTCTATAAGCCATGCGGCAGGCGGAATGCCTGGAGTCCGTCTGAGCTTCAGAAGAGCAGGCATTTGTTTTGTGGCTTAATCCATCCCTTCCATCTGCCCCTGTCATAAGAAGGTCGCAGCAACATCCAGTTTCCTCCGCGAGGCAGCGTCCCAGCCTGCTCTGTGGGCTCCTCTGACCCGCTTGGCTGACACAATAGGAGGGTGATCTGCCCTTTTATTATTTTATCACCAAAAAGACAGTGCCACATTGTCTCTTAATGGCTGCTCTGTGGCTGAGGGATTTCTCTTGCTGTATCCTTAGCTCCATTTGACTTGCTCTGACCAGGGAGAAAATGATTGGTCACATACTCTATCCTTGTCTGTGTCCTCCCCAGCTCACCTGGCAAGTGTGAGAGATAAACTGATGTGAGCCACTGATAATTTTGCTTGTTGTCTCACCACATCTTCACCCATCCTGACTGACCATCCTTACACAGGAAACGAGGTGTCTCTTCGTAAAAGGTTGCGTCACTCATTCTATGCATGCATGTGTGTCTGTGTGGGGGTAGGTGCATAGGAGCGCAGGGTCCACAGGGGCGAGAGGCATCGGATCCCCTGACCTCCGGTCCTCTGCAAAAGCAGTTAGCACTTTTAACTGCTGAGCCATCTAGTCGGCTCCAAGACATCTTCTGTCACTGTGCTGTAGCAACTGCCACGGAAGAGTGAGAGGGACCCAGTCTCACTGTCCCTTCAAGAGGACCACAAAGGAATCAGGATAGCTCTGAAGGGTTTTGAAAGACTGGTCATGTTTAATTCTACAGAGGAACTTAATAGATTGGATTAATAGCTTGGACAGCAGCAGCAGTCTGGTGGCCCTCCATGCTCCTCTTGCTCCTGGTTTCCTTTGGAATCTAAATCCCATGTGGTAAAATGAAGCCCAGCTGTATGGTTGGTACAATGTGTATCGCTCGGTCAGGGACTGCGTCATTAAGAGAGGATGACGACAGTCAGTCACAGAGACAGGCGGGATGCAGGTCTCCTGGGATCAGAACAATGCTGCTCAGTTTACTTAGGGCTGGGGCCGCTCCACACAGGGTGTAGGGTAATGTCCATGAAGGACAGCTTGCTGTGTCTGCCAGCCTGTCAGTCAGGGGTTTGGCCACAGAGCGTGCTGTTTCTCATCCTGCCACCGCCGACTCTGTGAGCTGGTATGGATCTGCGGAGGGCGCTCTGCCCACACTGTGGCTGGCGCTGCTGGGTAGGCAGCCAGCCCTAGGTCACTGCAGGTTTTAGACTGCAGTGGGGGAACATAGGCGCTCTCCTTCATCCTGGATCAATAAATGTCACTGTGTGTCCTCAGGTTCACAGGCTCCTCGCTGTGCTTCCTGTTACCCGCTAGCAAAGCAGGGATCAGCCACGTCACCCAAAAGGTTCTTGCATGGAGGGATGTGAGGGAATGAGGGAGCTTTGATCCTTAGGTGTGACATCCTGTCCTGGAGTGGGAACTTTTGGGTCCCTAATAAATGGGGAGGGAACTTGGCAATTTGTACCAACTCTAAGAGGACATTGTTTAGTTTTGTTTTAATTATTCTCTTTATATACATTACATACCAACTGTAGTCTGCCTACCTCCACCTCCCAATCCCCCATCTTCCCTCACTTCAGATCCACTCCTTCTCCATTTCCCCTCAAAAATAAAAAAAACAGAAATAAAGAAAAAAGAAAAGAGCAGGCCTCTCAGGAATATCAACTGAACACAGCATAACAAATTACAATAAGGCAAGGCACAAACTTTATCAAGGCTGGAAGAGGCAACCCAGCAGGAGGAAGAGGGCCCCAAGCTCAGGGAAAAGCATCAGAGACACCTCCCACTCCGAATGATAGGAGTCCCACAAGAAGCTATACAACCACACCATATAATAACATATACACAGAGGACCTAGCCCAGACCCATGCGGAGCTCGTGTTTGTTGCGTCTGTCTCTGTGAGCCCCTGTGAACCCTGCTTAGCTGATGCTGTGGGTTCTCATGGTGAGGACATCATTTTTTAGCCCCAGCCAACAACATTGAATTTCTGATCCTCCTATCCCTACCTCCCAATAGAGGGGTGACATCCCCGTTTTTATGTGGTACTGGGGATCAAACTCAAAGGGATTCACACATACTAAGTAAACACTCTAGTAACTGAGTTACATCCTCAGCCCGCAGGGCATCTCTGTCCCTTGCCTAGCTGGCCCCTTTCCCCACCGAAGCCTTACAACTCTAGTCTCTTCTTGGTCCCTCTTTGAATTTGCTTCTCCAGATGATAACAGCCGCCCATGTCAAGCCCAGCCCCAACAACATCCTATCAACCCCCAACGGGAGGACAAGTCAGAGAGTGGAAGGTGAGGGAGCAAGGCCGTTGCTGCTCCAGGGACCTAATCCACTGTCTTCCCCGGAGCCATACACAGACTGGTCTACCTAACAACTGGCAGGGAAACAGGAAGCAGATGCGAGGGCAGCAGGGCACCAGGCCAGCAGCCTCTTTCTCCCACCCCTCTCCTGCACCCGGTTCATCCACCCACTCTTGGCCATGGCCTGGCTCACCTTCATGAGGTCTCGATGGTGTTCCAATACACTGCAGGTCGTCTGCCAGGTGTCTTGGTAGCACTCCCATGGGTCCACTCTGCCATCACAAGAGAGGCTGTCCTTAGTCTCCATTGTATGCCCTCTCTCCCCACTGCTTCCTTCCACGGCTCAGGGAGCTTAGCAGACCTGGCCGTGTTGTGTGCTTAGATCTCAAGTTAGGCTAAACCAGCTGTGAAATAGACTCCTGAGCCTCAGTTTCCCTCTCCGTAAAATGAGAAGTATCTAGCACAGGCAGGTGAGGAAGATGCTGGCGTGAATCTCCAAGTTTAACCCCAGCTCAGCACTCTTTCTAGTGTGAGGACTTGGGAGATTTTATATACAAAGTGCCTATCAGGATGGCTCCTGCTTATTTTCACACGGAAAGGGGAAATCTTCAGGCTCTTGCGGGACTGTGATAGGATTAAATGAACCAGGGGCTCAGCAAGCAGGGACAGAGCAAGCCCTGGAAAAGCAGCCCCATGGGCCTCAGCTGGGAGGAGCAGTGCCCGGAGGCTGGAAGTAAGGCTTGACAGCTAGACTAGAGGGTACAAACCCCCAGGCCAGCCTACTCCTCCTGCACAGGAGGCTGGGAAGTGAGCAGGGATCCTGCCCCAGACTGATGCCTCACTTGGCCTCAATTGCTAGCCTAATGAGCTGCTAAATTGAGCTATTTCTGAAATGTTCTCTTCGTGGTTGAGCATCCCTCCCTGCCCATTGCCTGCCAGGCGCCCTGGGTTTCCTGAGTCGAGGTCTTACTAAGTGAAAATGAAGGGGGTCTGCCTGCCCTCGCCTGGTTCCTCCTGTCCTGCCCCTGTGCACACGAGTGTGGGAGGTGAGCAAACCCGTGGACTTGCCAAATGGGTACCCAGAGTCAGGGCTAGCTACCCAGCTTCCATCCCCAGAGCTCACCCTCAGGCTCCTCAGACGCCTCAGTTCTGACCTTCCACGTAGGGTAGGTGGTAGTCACTCAGTAACTATCCATCAGATCAATGAAGGGATTATTCCAGAATGTTTTTTTTTAAAAAAAAAAAAAAAACAAAGCTATTGCAGCAGGAACAGCTTCTGCCCAGTACGTTCTCTGGATTCATCTCCCACAGGCAATTAGAAAGTCATCTAAGCAGCAAGAAATGTGGTTTCGGACACTGACCTGATCATAGACGGACTGTCTTCCAGCACTTTGACTTCTCCAGGCCTGTTTCTCATCTGAGAAAGCAGCCACCCTCTACCCAACTGTGCGTTTTATTTTATTTTTTATTTTGTAAAAGATTGATTGATTGATTGATTGATTGATTGATTGATTGATTTATACAGTATCCTGGGAATTGAACTCAGGACCCCTGGAAGAGCAGTCAGTGCTCTTAACCGTTTGAGCCATCTCTCCAGCTCCTGTATTTTATTTTTTTTTAAAGACTTATTTTTATTTATGCACGTGAGGGTGCCTGCCAGAGAGGGTGTCAGCTCCCCTGGAGCCAGAGTTACAGGCAGCAGTAAGCTGCCCGAGGTAGGTATGGGAACTGAACTCCTGTCCTCTGGAAGAACAACCATAGCTCTTAACTGCTGAGCCATCTTTCCAGTCCTCAAGCCAAAAGGAAGTCCCTCGAGGGCCACGTGGACCGCTGCTTAATCATGACCGTGCTGTCCTTGACTGCCCTCAGTTCTGCCGGCCCATCCCTCACTCTGAGGTCGAGGTCCCTCCCCTCATGGAAACTTCTAGGTGCTGCTTATTCTTCCACTGTCGGAAATTAAAGCGCAAATGATGTGCCATTATTTTTTTTAAACACCATCTTCTCATGCAAATTATAACGGTAGGAACGTGGGGGGCATAATTAGCATAATTAGTGGAAGCTTGCTTTAATTACACTGCTGGCTCAGAGCATGGGAAGCGCTGCCATCTTAGCGTCTTAGCGGCACAGCTAGTCTGGTGATGTGCGTGGGGTGGTAGGGACCGCAGTGATCAGGGTCTGAGTTGGTAGAGGTACCCTAGAGAGCACTGCTCAGCAGCCTCATACCTTCGTATGGGAATCAGTGTGGACCCCTGAGAGACCCTGAGGTCAGAAGTGGGCAGTAATCAAGGGCCACAGACTTTCTCTGAAAGGAAGGGAGTTGTGGCTGAGAGTTAGTTCATGGAAGTCGATGGGAATGTGAATGAGAGGCATCTGGGATTTGGGACCAGGCTCCTCCCTGCTGTGATGTTTTTAGAAACTCTAAGAATCACACCAGGACGCACAGGTACAAAACTCTGTAAATAGCTCTTTAATTTTGATTGTTTGGTTCAAAAATAAACAAAGTTATCAATTGGGCCACCACTGGAGAGCTACCTAATTATGACCGGTACGGGGCTAATCTCTCTCCGACTTCCTCACCCTTGTGGGTTCCAAATTACTGACTCTTCCTCTTTCCCATTTCATCCCAGGAAGCCCCAGGACCATCTGCCTCTGGCATCACTCGCAGCCCTACCTGATCCAGTCGGAATTCTGGACAGCCAGTTGACACATGACCAGACGATGCCGGCTCGACACAAGGCCCTGGGAAGCAACCACACCATGAGTAGGAGGAGGTGGCCTCGGTCTCCCACAGCGCCCAGAGACACCAATAAGCCACCCCATTACAAAGTGTAGCCATGTTTGATGGTAAGAGGAAACGAGAGTTGGGACTCCTTGACTCGTCCCTTTGCCACACACACAGACTTTGAGTGACAGCGGGAAAAGGAAAGGAATGAAGGATGCGCGGTGTAACCCACTGCATCAGAATCCAAATCAGCCAATGCCCAGTCTACTAAGGTTTGACCTGGTTTAAGCTCGGTTAGCCTGGTTTGGTGATTAGAGTATCTGTGGGACAGACAGAAATGACTGGGCAAGTTCCCACATTTTGGGGGACCTGTGGCAAATTATAAGAGGCACTGGGATGCTTTTTCCAAAATAAAAATCGCAGGATCTCTTTGTCCAGTGTAGCTCAACCCATAACCCGCTGTCAACCTGGAACCCAGCACAGTCACGGGAGCAGGGTACTTAACCCTCTGCCAGTCTGGAGCCCAGCACAGTCACACAGAGCAAGCACACTTCACTCCTCTCTGTGAGCATCTGGCTGTCATGGGCACCTGGCGCTTCAGCTGTGGCCAGACACCCAGGTCTGACTGTGGTCCAGGGATGAAAGCCAGATGCTTATTGTTAGGCATTTTGCATTTCCAGGAATCTCAGAGACCACGATGGGTCAATTTCATCCAGGGAAGCAGTCATGAGGAGGGAGGGTGAAGGGAGAAGGGAAAACCCACCTGTTTTCCATAGGAGTCGTGGACAGGAGAGACAATCCCACCAATCACAATGAATCTTCCAGTCTTGTGCAGGTAATCCCTGGCTCTTTCTAATTAAGAGAAGAAAACCGCATATTACAAGAGAGCAGAGGTGGATTAAAGGTGATAATTGAAATCAGTCTGTTTGGCCCTGAACCCATTAAGGTTTGGTGCTTGCTATTTAAATAGAAGGTGTCAACTTTCAAAGCAAATGGTGGTGACTCAAAGGTCTAGGAGGCGGACCTTAGCCCCAGAAATGAAAGGAGTTAAAATTTAATCTTAATTCAAGGCTTAATCCAGTGGTTAGGGTCCGTGCTGGAGGAGTCACGGGAGCGGGAGGGGTTTAAACAAGAACCTCGTTAAGGAGCACTAAGAGATGCTGATTGGAATTTACTCCTATTGTCTCTTGCAGAAATTCCAATGAACAGAAAAAGGAAGCCTCCTTAGAATATGAAAGATGGGCCGATTGCCTCACCCAATTACCCAGAAGGAAGAAATAGGAAAACAAACGTAAAGGGCCTTGTGCATAACCATAGAGAGTTAACCTGTACATAACCATAGAGAGTTAACCTGTATATAACCATAGAGAGTTAACCTGTACATAACCATTGAGAGTTAACCTGTACATAACCATTGAGAGTTAACCGCCAGCTTAGCGAGTCAGCTTCGTTACAGTTGCTTGAGATAAAAATCCAGACCAAACAAAAGCCTCCTTAGGAGAGTCCCGTTCCTTACCCAAATTGATCAGGCAAACCCAGGCACACGTTCGTAAGAAAACTAGTGAACCAGAAAAGCTTTAAAGTCTAGTAGTTTATTTCTGCCACCGTAGCAGCCTGTCTCAGCTGCTGAGGCAGTGAAGTCACCATCTGCTGCCAGAGCCTTTCTCCCGTCAGCTGTGGGACACCTGCACCCTTTAAAAGTGCTGGTGGGTCATAGTTCCCTCCTTCTCTTCTTGCTGCTTCTTCCCCTTATCTCTGTTCTGTCTGTCCATCCGCTGTTTGTCTGTCTGCCTCTCTCATGTCCCTACTCCCAGGAGTCCTTCCTCACATCCTGCCCCAAACCTCATGCGCTAACTCTGTTGTGGATGGTGTTTGCACTTAGTGGTGAACCTCGGCAGGGCCCACCGAAAGATACCCACTTCTGTAATGTTCTGTCCTGTCCCTTAAAGAGACGAACCCTGACCCCTCCCCCCCCCCCCCCCCCCCCCCCCCCCCCCCCCCCCNCCCCCCCCCCCCCCCCCCCGCCACACACACACACACACACACACACACACACACCCCACTGAGGCAGGCAGATCTTCCTTCTGCTTCCAGCCTGAGTGCTCTTTTTTTCTGTTACTCTCCTAATGAGGTAGCTGCTGCACGGCTCCTCTGCCACCCTCTGCCTCTCTCTGCTCTTCTCCCTTCTGGCCTTACCCCCTTTCCCCTTCCTTCCATAATCCATTACATAAATATCCTTCACTCTGCACGGTGTGCCCATTCGTTTGTCTCTCACCCACTATGCAGCTCCCTGCCTGGGATCCGCTGGCCCACCATGGTCTCAGGACCAGCTGCCTGCTGCCTGCCACCTGCCACCACTCGGGGACCTGTGGCATGGTCTCATGGCCCACTCCCACTGTCCCCACTTAGAGACCTGCAGCGTTTCTGCCGCTGCGCCCCCTCGGGGAACAGTGGCATTAAACCGTAACAACTTGGCTTTTCTAAAATCCTTCCACTAGCCCTGTTTTATTTCCCAGGGTGCCCATCGAGCAAATTCTATCAGGTTGCATTATTTTTAAGTTTTTATATTTGTATATGTGTGTACATATATATATATATGTTCTTGCAGAGGCAGAAATTAATTTTCTTATTTACTTTTTTACCTTACTTTTACAAAAGATATACTTTATAATTATGAGTGTGTGTGTGTGTTCTCATGCGTGCACCCTCATGCATGTGCCAGAGAAGTCCAGAAAAGGGTGTCAGATCCCTTGGAGCTACAGTTATAGGAGCTTATGAGCCCCATGCAGATGCTGGGAAGTGAACTTAGGTCTTCTGGAAAAACAGTGTTCATTCTTAGTCTCTGAGCCAGCTCTCAAGCCCCCTCTATTGTTTTTTTTTAAATGTTTATTTATTTGTTTATTCATTTGTTATGTATACAATATTCTGTGTGTATGTCGGCAGGCCAGCAGAGGGCACCAGACCTCATTACAGATGGTTGTGAGCCACCATGTGGTTGCTGGGAATTGAACTCAGGACCTTTGGAAGAGCAGGCAGTGCCCTTAACCACTGGACCATCTCTCCAGCCCCCCCTCTATTGTTTTTTGAGACAAGATCTCTCTCTGAACCTGGAGTTTATTGACTGTCCAAACTTTCTGGCCAGTGAATCTTTTTTTTATTTTAATATTTATTTATTTGGGTTTTGGAGATAGGATTTCTCTGCACAACAGCTCTGTCTGTTCTGGAACTTGCTTTGTAGACCAGGCTGGTCTCAAACTCACAGAGATCCGCCTGTCTGTACCTCAGTACTGAGATTAAAGGCGCTCCGCCATGCCTGACTTTTTGCCATGCTTTTTATATGTATGAGTGTTTTGCCTACATGTATGTATGCACACCATGTATATGTCTGATGCCCTTAGATGCCAGGAGAGGGCTTCATATCCCCTGGACTTGGAGTTACAGATGGTTGCTAGCTGCCATGTGGGTCTGGGGAACTGAACCTGTGTCCTTTGTGAGAGAAGCAAGTGCTCTGAAGCACTGAGCCACCACTCCATGCCTGTCTTTCTAAGTGGATGCTATGGATCAAAGTCAGGCCCCTCCAGCTTGAGGCAAACCCTTCACGATTGAGCCAGCCCTGAAGCCCTAAGGTATGAATTTTGGGATGGGGGAAATCTGTGAGTGGAAGGGGGAGGGAACAGCAAGCCTGGGTATAGGTTCTTTCTCAGTCAAGCTTGCATGACCTTGTGACTCTCTCTGCATTTAAAAATAATGCTCACCACAGCTGCTTCTTTTATCCCTTCCTTGTAAAATCTTTTTAAAAATTGACAATTTTTTTTAACATTTTAGATTTAATTTTCAGAGTAATAGGAAGATGGTGCCTATAACTCAGTAAGCAGCATGGTTGCTCGGACCTCTCTCCCACACAGCTTCCCTGGTCCGTGCACAGCCTTGCACTTGACTTGCTCCACTTAACTAACTGCTGTGCACGGTCTACATTACGATTCATTCTGTGCTGTAGGATTCTCTAGGTTTTGATGAGTGTGGGACACAGGCCCGTTAAGAAGTACCACACGGAGGACTTCACTGCCCAAAGTCTAGAGTGCTCTACCTGTTCGCTTTCCCTTCTCACCTTGGTCTCTGTCAGCTATGGCTTTTTTTTTTTTTTTTTAACTATTGATTGAGATTTGCCGGGGTAGTGGTCAGAAGGATGTAGCACACAGTCTCTTTAGACTGGGTCCTTCCATATAAGTTCTTCATGGCTCTCTGTGCTGGCTAGTTTTCTGTCAACCTGACACAAGCTATAGTCTTCTGAGAGGAGGGAAACTCCACTAAGAAATGCCTCCATAAGATAAGGCTGTAGGCAAGGCTATAAGGCATTTTCTTAATTAGTGATTGATGGGGGAGGGCCCAGTCCATTGTGTGTGGTGCCATCCCTGAGCTGTGGTCCTAAGTTCTCTATGAAAGCAGGCTGAGTAAGCCATGAGAAGCCAGCCAGTAAGCAGCACCCCTCCTGGCCTCTGCATCAGTTCCTGTCTCCAGGATCCTGTCCTGCTTCAATTGCCCTGACTTCTTTTGATTGTGAACAGCAATAAGGGGGTGTAAGCCAAATAAACCCTTTCCTCCCAAGTTGCTTTAGTCATGGTGTTTCCTCATAGCCATAGTAACCCAGATGAAGATGCTTACCATGGCTAAACAGTTGATTTATCTTCATCAGTGAAGAACATTCCATAATCTAGCTGGTTCTCAGTTTGCTGTTCTGTCTGCCTGATGAAACACATTGTCATTGTTCCCAGGTTTCTGGTGATTATAAACAAAGCTGACATAAAAAGCCACCAGATCTCATTACAGATGGTTGTGAGCTGCCATGTCAGTGCTGGGAATTGAACTCAGGACCACTGAGCAGCCATCTCATTGAGCCAGCCCTTCATGTAGGTGTTTGTATAATTATGTTTTCACTCATTTAGGTCAATATATAACAGTGAGATCACTAGATCATATGGTAAGAATGTGTTTAGTGCTATAATAAACTGCCATTGTCTTCTAAAATGGC